ACGCCACACTTGCTTCATAGTATGTGAATAGGAAAAGCACGCAGGCTCCACTGATTGCCCTAAATCGTCGTTTTTCAAGAGTTTTCCACCTAGGCTGCTCGGTGCTTTCTCACCCTCCCCTCTATACGTACAGCTGACCAGGGAGGGATGGTAGGTCGAAGTGACCGTTCAAAATGAGTTTATGTCTCTCGTGATGCGTCTCCGAACGCTGTTTCCAAATCTATTTTCCAAATCTGCTGAACGATGCTGTGAACAAAATTACGAAGGTTTTTCCCGCAAATGGTGTGATGGTCTAACGGTTGATGAGACTGATTTGCAAGTTCGACGCTAGGAGATCGTGTCCGTTCGCTTCTCGTGTTTCGCTCAGAGCCTTTGCTTTTTTCATATCTCGTCAACAGAAGTTAAATTATTGTCTTTCGATAAACTTTTCTTTGAATATTCTGACTTTGGCATTGCGGCATTCTAGCGTGCGCAACGCACGAACGAGGCGTTTTCACGCCGAGGGAGTGTGATGATCGCCTTCAGGAAGTCAAACTATTTGACACAAATTTCTAGCCAAATCGAAAATTTGACTGCTAAATCGAAAAAGTGGATTCTCCATGGGTAACATGAAAAGCCTAGTAGCTAGTGCCTTCGCCAGCATCCACGAGCACAACCTTTGTGAGGCAAGGAGATTCTGAGAGCTGAACGCCCATAAAAAAAACCTCAATACCCCTAGGTTGCACTAGAGAGAGTATACTGGGTTCTTATGCGAAATGTTTATGAGACTCTTCCTCAACATATCATTCTACCGCTATTTACTGTTTTTTTAGCAGAGTCTCAACTTGCTTGGTGCATAGAAGAAAAGAGTCATAAGAGTAAGAGTAAAATAATTACAATCATAAGACTCCACGACCGAATTGTCCAAATGGTCTGATTTCTTTGAGAACAGCAGTTTTCGGCGATATGAGGTTCCATAAGCGTGCTAAAGTGGTTTGCAAACGCATTGAGCATAGTTTTGAAAAAGTGCAAAAAAACCACCCCTTCCTGGACCCGAACCTTGACCTTGCATTTACGAGACTGGCATAGTATCCACTAGGCCACCGGTTCCACATCCAAGCTATGCATGCGTATCGTATTCGTGCTGAACTTGGGTCTGCTCCGTATCACAACAAGTTCGTAACTTTGCTCAGAGAATCGTTCAGCAGGTACGGAGTGCAGTTTTGTAGTCAGAGATCGAGCACCTTTCGGGTGATATGCATCATATTTTAAATGGTCACTTCGACCTAGCATCCTCCCCTGCTGAGATCAAGTGCATCAGTGAAAGGTGAACCGAAGGGAGGACCAAGCGCCACAATCACACCGATCGGAAAGTATACCGTAGTCACGAGTTGTGGATAGGTACGCCCTGGCAACTTCAAGCCTCTCCACACCATGTCGCCTGGGCTCCCAGAAAAATCATGTTGAACGATGGTCTTGGGTGCATCACATGTGCCTATTCTTGCCACATGCGGATGTGTCCAAATTCTCTACTGACATTCAATTTGGTCTCAACTGAGAAGAACACGCGATCATTCAAATAAGTGGTCCGTCGCCAATGTCCCGGCACCTAGCAAATGTTCCCGCCGATGTGCATGTTTTGAAGGAACATGATTCTGTTGGTCGCTCAGAGGAGACATCCCTATTGCGATCACTGTGCTACTGTTCAAGCTGGGATTAAGTGCCTTGCCTCTGCGTGAACGGTTTTAGTGTTGTCTCTGAGACTTGCTGTAATCAAGAACACCACTACATTCCACAGTAACTTCTCCCTGCTCAGTACACTCCCTCTTGTCCTGTCCCACGAACCCTCGTTCTGGTGGCCACCCCATTTTGGCTCCAGATTGAAGCCGGCCGCAAGATATATGAGGCCCACTTTAACGTCCATGACTGTCAGACTTTTAGCATTATGCTTGCAGAAGTTAGGTTAATTTATCCATATCGCCCTTAAGTTTTGCACGCCGGTGTAGTACTTATATATGATACAGGAGGTAATACGGGGACACAGATGGTGGGTGAGCGAGGACGATAACAAATGACGAAGACTGTATTATAGGATTGTTTAATATCGCGGTACAGATTCATAGAACCCTAATAGGAAACTCTATCTATTCAGTGCAAAGAGATGGGGAATACAAGAAATTTCAGGCTCAGTATTTATCGCCCCCAGCAACTCTTGTATCTGGGCTATCCCAGAAAAGAGATTGCGTCAATTATATGTTGAGTCAATATATTACTTTTCAGAACGGTGAAAGAGCATGTAAACTTTAGCTCTGAAGCAATTTCGCCCTCCTCTACACCGTCTCATAGCAGCAAGAGTGACCGTTTAGGTAATGCATCGGGATCTTGCTGCTCGAAATTGTCTAATTAGTTCCAATGATATCTGCAAAATCAGCGATTTTGGATTGTCATTGTTGGGACACACTCACAAGGAGAAGCAGCTGCTCAAAGTACCAGTCAGGTAGTCGATTCAGATGAGTACTATAATTTTAGCACACCCTGTGGAAGCATGAAACGATGAGTTATATACTTCAAAGATGCGCTGCCATTATAGTTTGGCATTGTTATTGAATCCAGTCTCAGCCTCAAATTACAGATAATTTTCACGAGTACCACTTGAAATCATCAGGCTGTATTTAGGATTAAGAGAAGATGGGCGAGGACATGGTCCCTTGATCCGCGGGTGCACGGCGCTTCACTCTGCTTAGCGTTGACTTTTTCATTTCAAGATAATCCACACACCCACCACTCCAATCACGATGCTATACAGTACCGTGCAGTGAAGTATTCGTTTTCACTTTTTTAAACGTAACTCCCTCAAAACTCAAGCTTTTGTTCCGATTTTTTGTAGGTGAGAACACATCACTCTACCTGATAAGGAAGCAAATCTTCAGTTGTCTAGGTGGCTTCTATACTAATTTAGAAATTTTTAATTTTTTTCGGTCCAATACCATATTACTTGTTCGAAATTCAATCTATCTAAAATTCAAAAATAATAACAAAATGACTTATATAATAACAGACGTAACAACTACAACATCAGCACTTTGTCGCAGAACCGTTTTCATCTACGACGGCTTGACACCGGCGAAGCACGGAATTGGGTTTTTTCTTGGTAGAGGTTCCCCTACGCGATCTTCAGTGGGACGGACTTTTCGAACTCGTTGTGAGCTTTTGGGCCTTCAGCTTGACTCCGAAAATCATCCTACAGATTTTTGCTCTGATTCAAGTATGGGGACTGCGATGGCATGGCAGTGGAGGAACATTGTTGTTGCGGAACCATTGCGAGAGCGGCTTTGATTTTGCGCTTGGGGTCGGAAAATGAAACACCCTCGGTCCGATGAAGGTGATCAACCCCTATGCCACAGAAGCTGCCATGCAGTATCACCGCACCCCCTGCATTCGTCACGTCAGCACATGGAACCTCGGATGATATCTGGTACCAACGGGAAGTCGCAAAAACTTGACTTCTTTCGTGCTAAACAGCAAAAACTTCGATTCGTTGCTCTAGATGGCTTTTTGTCACTCCTTAATAGTCCGTTTCTTGTGGGCATGAGCCTAATTGAGATGCGCTCTGCCACTCTTGAGGGGGAATCAGCGGTTTCTTACTGAGCTACGTCAGAAGTGCCCAGCATCTCTCAGACAACGTCGCACGTTGTCTTCGGACGGATTTAGACCGTCTGGCGTTGAGAATCCGCGGTGAATTTCGGGTGCAGCGTGATGCGAGCCACTCCTTACAAGTCGCACAATGATTCTATTGGCGAGAGAAGAGGTCATTTTTGCTACTTCTGGGCGCTTTTTGACTTTGGCAGGTTCAATGCTCTTGAATTTCTTCCAAGTCGTCCACTGGGGCTCCTTGAACTTCAAAAATCTGCTGGGATGTTAAGCCTTCGTAGAACCTCCGAAAGATGGCGTCACCTGGTCCTGCCACAAGCTATGAATTCCCTAATGTCTTGGAATGTTCTGAGTACTGTGTAGGCATATGAAACTGACACAAAACATCAAAAACACACGTGCTCTCAACATGGAAACTCATCGTTTATCAACAATGAAATTGGGTGCCCGCGGACAATACTCGAAAATGAAGCTCCATTTCCCCTTGAAAGGAGGCTATCGCACCGATACGCTGCTATAATATGACTACCTGTGTGTGTCAACTGCTGTCGAAGTTTTACTGCGAAAGCTTGAGTTTTGAGGAAATTACGTTTAAAAAAGTGAAAACGAATACTTCACTGCACGGTACTGTACTTCAAAGATGCGCTGCCAATTAGTTTGGCATTGTTATTGAATCCAGTCTCAGCCTCAAATTACAGATAATTTTCACGAGTACCACTTGAAGGGCGAGGACATGGTCCCTTGATCCGCGGGTGCACGGCGCTTCACTCTGCTTAGCGTTGAATTTTTCATTTCAAGATAATCCACACACCCACCACTCCAATCACGATGCTTTTCTCGACGCTTTTGAAAATGTATCTGGGTAAACATCATTCGTAAACTATCAATCGTTTGTCGAAGCAACTTCCGTGCGACAATGTGACTGCATCCCAAGGCTTGTGAAGATCCGAAATATAGAGTTTGGTCCCCACATGCCTTGAGCCCGAATCAGCTCCAAACACGATCTGACACGTTATGTTCAAGTCGACTTACTATGGTTTCTTCGATTGACCATCCATCACATTTGCCGAAGATGAGGAGTGGGTACAGTTGCTAACAAATGAACAAGCGGCGGTAGTCCAGCTCAAACGCTTCGGGAGTTCTTATTGCTTAAGTTCAACCTCGTCCAAGTAGGGCCTTCTCGGATTTTTGGTGGAACACGAGAGGAGTTGAGCTCTGGAAACCCCTACGTGTAGATGTCGCAGTCAACGCGAAAGTCAACTATCCACAGCTCGAATGCAACGCTTTTAATACGAAAGAAAAACAAGGCAAAGTTTGCTTTTTGCAACACCGTTGAAGCAGCCTATTTCCAAGAGAAATCCAGAAAAATTTCAGGACTCTTTGACGAGGAGTTTTTCCGCCCTCATAACCCTGATCTCGTGCATGAGCTTCTCTCTCCAGGAAAACTCCTGAAGAAAAAAAATTCATTCAAATCATTATGATGTCAAAATCGAAATATTAGGTTGTTCGAAAAGTGATGCGGGTTTTTGACCTCCATTTTCAAAGAGGCATATTTTCACTCAAATTGAACATTTTTTGTCGTAACAAAAAGTATTGGAAAGCACTAATCTTTCTTAACAAGATGCGTACTAAAATGTCCTTCCCACATCAAAATCAGCGCTTCTGGAGGCGATGATATCGTCGAGCGTCATTTTCACATCAGTTTGAACATTGAAGCATTTCTTACTCAAGAAGTTGTCGAGATGGTTGGAAAAGGGGGTATTGGTGAGGGAGAGGTCCAGTGAGCAAGACGTGTGGATCAAAGCTTCGTACGCCAGTTTGTTCAATACTTGCGAGGTCGTTTATGGGACGTGTGGCTGAGCGCCACCATGAAGGAGGCTTTGTTTACTTCTCTCGGTTGACGAACTTGATGTTTCTAGAGCATCTCATCGGTATGCTGGAGAGACATTGGTGTTGTGTTAAATTCACCTGGTTTCCAAGAGCTGGGTTGGATCAGCCCCGTGGAAGACTGCCGAATGTTGAGCTCAACTTTAATCTTCTATAATTTCGGCTTTGGAGAAGTTTTTGAAGATTCATCGCGGTCAAACTATTAGAGAGATGGCTTTCTGTAACAAAGAGTCCATTTTACGTCGTAGATGACAATAGATACCGAATAACGACCCCTTGGGAAGGCGCTGCTTTAATCAGCCCATGCGGATGCCACCTATTCAGCTTTTCCACCTCTACAGTTATCTTCAGGAGCCACAATATTTTCAATATACCTACTTCTGTCCTACTGCTTGCTATAGCACAGTTAGACTGGAATCATCTTCTACGGGAATCTTCAGAAGGCCGTCGTCAACAGCAAAAGCATGCTCATGACTCCCCTCAACTTCACTATGGAATTCTTCTGAACCGAAACTTTGGAGCCAAAGCTGTGCTGCGATTCTGGAGGTGCTTCTTTGGCCCCATGAGGCCCCCCTGATGAGCGCTGCGTCAGAGTTTGCACATTGAAGAAAACCTTGCCCAAACCACTATATTGACACCTTCAGTTCAACTCTATAAAAAAACTCCAATATAACAAGTGAAACTGAAATTCAAATCCTTCTGAGGAAAGAAGATAGAATATGCTTGCCAATTATGTATAAGGTCTCAGGTTTCAGGGCAGTTTCAATATAGAGATATTTCAAGTATGGAATTCATCTCAGGACCCGCATTACTTTTCGAAGGGCCTAATATAGTCTTTCTTCGATTGAAATCGAGTGGAGTGGTATAAGAGAGGCATCGAACAGCTACTAGTGTGTTTGCAAAAGGTTGTGGATAAGTAAGATGTCTATTACTGGGAAAAAATAAACAAAGAAATATTAAAGTTTTTTTTTCTCTAAATTTAGGGTCTTTGTTGCGGGACTATGAAACAACCTAATGTTTTCATACGGGTATCGCAAATCATCTAATTCATAGTCTCTTTCATTTGTGCCCAATTGTAGATGGCTGCCACCAGAAGTACTAACAAAAGGGTTATACTCGAATAAAAGTGATGTTTGGAGTTGTGGTGTACTGATGTTTGAAGTGTTTTCCAATGGCGAAACACCGTATAAGGAAATTGCGGTGAGTGAGCGCTTTGACAGAGCTGGGGATCCACATGCTGTACACATACTTAGTGACTATTGCAGAAGCTACATGATGTGCGAAAACAAGTCGTCTTCAACAAGCTTCGCCTCAAACCGCCTCCAGATATGCCAGCTGAAGAGTCTGCGATAATGATGAGTTGCTTTGAAGACGACCCTGCTGCTAGGCCATCATTCGATGATCTGAAGAGAATGTGCGTTTAGCTTCAGATCTTATAATACAATTTTATTTATTTTTTATTTATTTATTTAAACGTCACATAAGGCAGACGCAAGAAAGCACAACACAGTAAAGTATAACAATTCACTTAACTAAGAATAACTCAAAAGAACTTTTTTAGCGAGGCGTTTGAAGTGCATAAAAGCAGGAGAATGTAGTGCTAATTTTGATTTAAGTGAAATGAAAATTGATCCAGCTCTACAGGTGAAGCTGTACAGCTTCATATTGGTTCGAGGCGTTGCGTATGAAATTTTCACAGATCCTCCTCTGGTTCTAGATTCGACCCTAGTGAAGAATTTTTGACGCATCAACCCTGGCAAGCCCAGTTAACATCTTAAATACCATGCAAGCATCATATAGTTTTCTACGTGATTTCAAGCTATGTAAATTGAGGCTTTGATTCCTAGAGGTAGGACGCGGCACTCTAGAGATGTCTACCTGTCCTGACCTAATAAATACTTTTCGTGTATAGTTGTTTTGGATTTTTTCAATTAATTCCTCGTCTTTCTTCTTATAAGGGCAAAAGACTGGCGTACCGCATTCCGCAATTGGCCTAACATATGTTTTGTATGCTCTGATTAAAATTTCTTTGTCATTAACTGTCAAACCCTTAAATATTTGGTATGTTCGGAAACATACTATGAAATCGGTCAAAGTATACGCCGTTTTGACCCCCTTAATTTTGAAGCAGCCACAACTTTGCTGAAACACAATCTTTTTGTTCGAAATAAAAACTGCTATGTCCAGCAGATTGTTCTCAATCAGAACCCATGCTAAGAACTTCCCTTCCTATAGATCTTTAATTTATTATAGGCTAAAAGCTGTAGGAAGGCGCATTTGACATGCCTCAGTTCTCAACGCGATTTCTCCTCCAAGAACTATGTTGAAAA